GTTTTGCAAAACTTGAGGGACCTGGGCGCCCCTGCATGCCCCAGGAGGCCCCTGGGAGCGCTGACGCGGCGTCATCTGCAAGGGATCGTGGCGTTGGAAGCGCGGACCATGCGTAATTTGCAAGGGATCGTGGCCCTCGGAGCGCGGGCGCAGCGTTATTTACGAGGGGTCGGGGCCTTCGAAGCTCGGACGCAATGTAATTTTCAAGGGATCGTAGCTCTTGGAGCGCGGGCGCAGCGTAAAATGCAAAGGATCGGGGCCCTGGGGGCTCGGACGCAGCGTAATGTACGAAGGATCGTGGCCCTGGGAGCGCGGACGCAGAGTAATTTACGAGGGGGCGGAGCCCTGGGAGCGCGACCTCGGTGTACTTTACGAGAGATCGTGGCCTTGGGAGCGCGGACGCAGCGTAATTCACAAGGGTTCGGGGCCCTGGGAGCGCGACCCCCGTGTAATTTACGAGGGATCGCGGCAGGGGGAGCGCGGACCCTGCGTCATTTGCAAAAGGATCGTGGCCTTAGGAGCGCGGACGCAGCGTCAATTACTGAGGATCGTGGCCCCTTGGAGTGCGGGCGCAGCGTAATTTGCGAGGGGTCGGGGCCCTGGGAGCGCGACCCCAGTGCAATCTGCGAGGGATCGGGGCCCTTGGAGCGTGGGCGCAGTGTGAATTGTGAAGGTTCGTGGCCATAGGAAGGCGGGCGCAGCGTAATCTATGAGGGGTCGTGACAGCTGGAGCGGGGGCGCAGCATGATTTTGGACCTCGTCTCGGTTGGTACTGCTTCGGTTCGTCCTGTCTGAGTTCGTCGTGTCTCGGTGTGCCGCGTTTCGGTCCGTCCTTGCTCGGTGCGTTCCGTCTTTCTTTGGATTCGCCCCCTCTCGGTTCGTCTCGTTTCATAACTGAGTCGGAATTTGAGCTCGGCAGCACGGCACAACGCGGCGCAGGACAGCGCGCATTGTTGGCACGTTTATTTCGTGGGGTGGTTCGTGGGATGTTTCGTGAAGTGTTTCGTGGGGTGTTTCGTGGGGTGTTTCGTTTGGTGATTTGTGCGGTGTTTAATGGCTGTTCGTTGGGTGTTTCGTCAAGTGTCTTCTAGCGTGCTCCGTTGAGTGTTTCTTGGGGTGTGTCGCGGGGTGCTTCGTAGGGCGTTTCGTGGGCTGTTTCGCGTTTCGTTTCGTTCAGCATTTCGCAGCACGGCACAGCGTAGCGCAGCTTCCGGCACGGTGCCATCACCATCGATATATTCATCATTGTTATTCCCCATCGCCCAATCCAAGTGTCTCGAAACGTTTCCATGCTTCACATGTCTATATCCCGTTCCAGGTTCGTGGGTCCAGCATGATTTAGAGGATGTCTCGAGCGAAACGCTTGTTTGTTATCAGAATTTGTTGAGGATGTCTCGAGCGAAACGCTTGTTGTGTGTTATCGCTTGTCCACTCCTGGGGACCAGAATTCTGAGGATCTCTCAAGTGAAATGCTTGCTTTCACGTGCCCAGGTCTTGAGGATGTCTCGAGCGAGACGCTTGGTTTCACGCCTCCAGGTTGCCCACTAGCGCCAGGATTTGTTGAGGATGTCTCGAGCGAGACGCTTGGTATCACGCGTCCTCGTCGCCCAGGCGGATGTCTAACATGAAGAGGTGTTGAGGATGCATCGAGCGAGACGCTTGCTTTCACGTGTGCAGGTCGCCCAGGCGGATGTCTAGAACGAGGAGGTGCCGAAAACGTCTCGAGCGAAACGCTTGTTTTCACGTGCCCAGGTCACCCAGGCGGACGTCTCACATGAAGATGTGTTGAGGATGTCTCGAGCGAACCACTTGTTTTCACGTGTCCAGTTCGCCCAGACGGATGTCTAGCATGAGAATGTGTTGAGGATGTGTTGAGCGAAACGCTTGTTTTCACGTGTCCATGCCGCTCAGGCGGATGTCTAGCATGAGGATTTTGACAGGATGTCTCGAGCGAAACGCTTGTCCCCAGCACGTTCCGTAGCGCATCCCCTTAGCACGCCCCGCGGTGCGTCCCCATGGGGAGTCCCCTGGCACGTCGCTTGGCGCGTCCCTTGAGACGTTCCGCGGCGCGTCCTCCTGGCATGTCTACCTGTCAATTAGCCCTGGGGCAGCTAGTATGTGCTCAGGCAGCTCGAGCTCAAGATCCAAATCAGTTCGGTCATGATTCGGATGCAAAGGGGGACTCGATCCACAACGCTATAGAGCACAATCGCGGCATGGCACATCGCAATTCAGCACGGCGCAGCACAACACAGGCTTCGGCACGGTACATCAAGATCGATACATTCAGCATTGCAACCTGGCACGTTCTTGGCACGTTCCGTGGGGCGTCCCGTGGCGAGACCCCCTGGCACGTCGCGCGGCGCGTCCCCTGGCACATCCCGTGGCACATCCATCGGCACGTTCCGTAGCGCGCCCCCTTGGCACGTCCCGCGGTGCGTCCCCATGGCGCGTCCCCATGGCGCGTCCCCTGGCACGTCCCTTGGGACGTTTCGCGGCGCGTCCTCCTGGCATGTCCCCCTGTCAATTAGCTCTGGGGCAGCTACTATGTGTTCAGGCAGCTCGAGCTTAAGATCCAGATCAGTTCGGTCAGGACTCGGATGCAAAGGAGGACTCGATCCACGAAAGGGATGGTGTGGCGGGAGACGCATCGGGTTGGCTGCGCGTGCTCCACATGTGGAGGCAGAGTGCATTTTGCTATGATTTGTTGACAGGGATAGGGATGGTGGGGGGGGCCTCGTGGTGTCATCATTTTTCTGGGTTGGCTGCGGGCCGGGTGGGGGAAGGGGGTGTACGTATATTAATAGGGAACAATGATCATGCTACCCTCTTTGATAGCAAGCTGTCTAGCTCACTCCAACTCGCCCTGCTAACTCATGAGTAACACCCGAGCCTCAGCATGTTCAGCTGTCGTCTTGGGATGGACAGCTACTGGGAGCAAGAACCGAGACCATGTGCGCGACGTTGGGGCGCGGTGCACCACGCGTGCCAGGCCCGCCACGCGCGCCAGGCACCCCTGGGGCCCGAGCGTGCCAGGCACGCCTGGTGCGCCAGATGCGCCACGTGCCTCCGCGTGTGCCGCATACTCCAGCCGCGCCAGGTGCGCCAGGTTCGGGGCACGCGCAGGGTTTGTCAGGTTTGCCCGCGCACGTGATTGCACACATCGGGAAACATGTCGACCCCACCATCCTTGTCGAAAACCAGAGCCCATCATTGTGTCTGGTGGGCCTGCGCAGAGCAGGCCATGCGCCACCACCCCTGACGTCCCTGTCGAAAACTATTTGGCGGCGATCGCGGGGTGGCCGCGCATGATCCAGACTTAGCCGCGAGGTGCATGTTGCATGGTTTTTCGTCAGGGATGGTAGCCCGCGCTCAGCAGGGAATATGCTGACACCCCCGACGTCCCCTTCAAAAGACAATACAAAGTGCCCGCGGGCCTCATGAATATGATTCAAGACTTTGCTCCAAAGTGTACTTTGTATAGCTTTCTGACAGGGATGGTGGGGGGGGGGCGCGTTGGATTTTCCTGCGCATGCTCAGAACTTGGAGGCAGAGTGTGTTTCGCATTGCTGCCGGAAAGGGCATGAGCCCAGTGTTTTCTTTTAGTAAGTAAACCTGTCCCCTGGTTCGAAGTTCGAAAAGGGCCGGCGAGTTATTAGTTCAAATGTGAGGATGTCCCGAGCGAAACGCTTATTTTGCAGA